TTGGCATACCCTCCAGCACCATACACCCTTCCATTTTTCCTCTTCCCGCGAGCAGCATCATACCAAGTCTGAAAACCTAGACAAGGATCAACAGGGTATCCCTGTGGTGGTGGAGGTAACTCAGGATGCTCAGATAAAGAAAGTGCAAGTCTTCGATCATACTCCTCCTATATAAAAAATTTAGATGTTATAATAATTTAAATAAAATGACTAAATAACATGTTATAAAAGAAAGAAATAGAATGACTAAATTTTAGCAAAACTTACTTGAATTTCCTTTGAGCGTTTATCGACAAACTCCCCATTTTTCTTGATATGAGTCTCTAGATGGATCTCATTAAGCATCGGAGTTCTACCCAACTCATCACGCTAATAAAATAAAACATATAAGTGAAAAAAATACTTTGTTTTAATCTAAATTTTAAATGAAAACTTAAGTAAAATAAATATATTTACCAGCCTATGTGCAATTTCAGCAACACTAATACTTCCAGCTGCGTAGTTGCAGCCACCAATTTCAGATGCCCTGTTTTTTTTTGCTTTTTCAGATATTTGCTTAAAGGATTCTGAATTCCAATGGTCAATAAGTTGCTTAAATACATCTTCACCTATCCAACAAGGACATGTTCTTTTATTTTCCCAATTAATTCGAACACGTCTAAGTGTGTCGGATAATCGGGCAGCACATTTTGTATCAAAATTTTCTCTTACTTGTTGCTGCTCTGTAAAGTCCCAAACACATTTCTCCTACATTGTTTTATGAATTTTAAAAAAATTAAATAATGTTAAACATGAAATAAACTAAATACATAAGAAATTAAAATAATAGTTACTTTTATACCTGAAATAAACTAAACCAATCTTCCTTTTCTGTTTCGTCTAGTGCTCCATATGTTGGCCAAAACTTTTTATACTTTTTTTTAATAACTTCTGTTATACACGATACTGCCTGGTGTGATGGTATAAGGCTAACCAAAAAAATTTTAAGTTACCTACCAAAAAAACACAAATTTAAATTATAAAAAAATAATATATAAAACATACATTCCTCCATCGCAATGAATGACATATCTGCCATTGTATTTTCTAATTGTTTGCGGCTTTGCATTTCTTAAAATGTGTGCCCTCCGTCGCTTCTCATGAGAACTATCAGGAGCACTAGTATCTCCATGATCATAAGAACTGGTACCTCCATGACCATGAGCACTAGTATCACCCTCCTCACCCTGCTCATCATGTGTAGAATGCACAGGTGATGAATGTGGCATGCCAGATCCACCAGCCTCCGTATATGGCCTAGAATACTGCATGGAAGGCATCGGAACACTAGGCCCGCTTGAATACTGCATGGAAGGCATCGGAACACTAGGCCCGCTTGAATACTGCATGGAAGGCATCAGAACACTAGGCCCACTAGGATTCATGGAAGGCATCGGAAAATATGAGGGATGCGGGGTACTGGGATGCATAATAGGCGCATATCCAGGAGGACTAATAAAGGTCGGCGCAGATATCGGTGGGAATGAAGGAAAATCAGGTGTGGATAGTAATCTGGTGAAAGAACCGCCAGACATGGGTGAAGTCTGCATAGGAGGTGGAGTAGGATGCACCTGACTCGAAAGTGGCATAGAAATAAACATAGACGAATCTGGAACCTCTTCTACAACAAACCTTGTGTGGCGAGCCTTACCCTTACCCTTTTCCTCACTTCGGGGTGGCATTTTTAAACTAAAATATTTCATAAAATGACAAAAAAGTAAATTAATTCAATAAGTTACACAAAAGTAAATAATATACATATATATAACAATACATATTACATAGTAGTATTATTACACAATAGTATAATTACATAGTAGTATTATTCATCATTGTAATCGTCACTGTCTTCATCAGATACGATATTGTCTTCTTCAGAGTCTCCTGACTCTTCCTCCTCTTCTTCCACATGATTTGCTGATAACAAGATGGTTGCATCAACTTGTTAACCCACAACCACAGTATCACCCAAACTTGTAATCTCCTCAATTTCAATTACCCCATTCACGGGTGAAATCTCATCATCTTGGTATGCAACATCATCTTCCATTACACCGTCAGATTCAATATAACCCATTGGATTGGACTTGATTACAACACACCATCCTCGTTTACTTGGTTGAATTGAAGGATAAGGAACATAGTAAACTTGCCTAACATTATGTGCCATTATGAAAGGGTCATACTCTTTGTACTTTCGATCCATTCTGTTTTTAAAAATAATATATAATATGTTTTAATATTCTGTTTTAAAAATGTTTATAAATAAATAAATATTCTATTTTAAATAAATATTATGTTTTAAATAAACAATATATAATATAAATCTGTTTTATATTCTGTTTAATATATAATATAATATAAATAAATAATATTCTGTTCTAATATAATATAATATAAATATTTTGTTTTAAATATTATGTTTTATATAATATAAATAATATATTCTGTTTAATTATATAATCTATTTAATATTTAATAAATAAACATTCTGTTTTATATAAATAAATCATAAATAATATATAATATTCTGCTTTAAATAAATATACAGTTTTAAATACTAAATATTCTGTTTTAAATAAATAAATATTCTATTTTAAATGAATAATATATAATAAAAATCTGTTTTATAATAATTTGTTTATAATATGTTTATAAATATGTTTATAATATATGTTTTAAATGTGTTTATAATATAAATCTTAATATGTTTTATATTATAACAGATAAATATGTTTTAAATAATATATATATATAATATTAATATTTTAATTAAAATTTATTTTATAATCTAAATATTAAAATCTGTTATGTAAAACTATACATAAATATGTTATGTAAAAATTTATTTTATCAACAACCACCACACACATAATTTTTGAAATAGATATTCATCTAAAATTTTAAAAAATAACAAAAGTGTGTACCTTTTGATCTTCTTCCTTGTTGCTGGTTCCTCTTTACAAAAATTTGATAACTTCTTTTATTCACAGTACATACAACAAACAAATAAATAAACAAAATTAATTAATAAATTTAAATAATAAAATAAACTATAAATACGAAAATAATATACACAAATAAAATAACTTACTTTTATAAATGTTGGAAGATGAAGGAGGAAGAAGAAGATAAGAAAATCTGAGAATGGAATTGGAAAGAAGAAGAATGGAATGGGAAAGAAGAATTAATGTGGAAGGAGAAATGGAGAAAGGAGAAATGGAGAAGACAGAGAAATGAATGTGTGGGCTGCGAAATAAATGTGGTATTTACTGTTTTATTTTGCGAGGGGATACTCCACGCAATGCTCAACGGTCACATGACCTGGCAGGATTTGCGAGGGGCTACTCCACGCCACGTACTCACATGCAATTTGCAAGGGGCATCCCCTAGCCACGTTTAGCGGGTGGCAGACCATTTTGCAGAGTGATGCAGAGGACTAATTGCTTTTTCAGTGTGATTTGACTAAAGTAGGGCATTTAGTGAGGGGCTTCCCCTCGCAAAATGGGAACGTAACGTGGTGAGGGGCTATCCCCTCGCAAATTGATCAGCCTTTCCACCAAAAAATGCGCTGAACCCTAGTAAAAGTGCATTTCAAAATTCAAAAAATTTTCCCTCCTTCATTGCGAGGGGTATCCCCTAACTAAATGTTTATATTTTTTTTCTCCCCTATTTTACAGTTTGCGAGGGGTTTAACCCCAAGCAAATGGTTTTATTTTAGTGAAGGGTTTAACCCCTAGCCCATGCCCCTAGCTAATTCAATGATTTCTTGTAGTGGCCTAACAAGATTCACACGTGTTGGGAGTTTATCTATGAGCAATCTCCAGTCAAACAATTTGATCTTCAAAGGTACAATCGTCTTCCACAATATCCGCAATGCAGCCTTGCATAAGACATCCAAATTTCCACCTCCCAATGACAAAGAAACTTGTCATAGTATGACTTAACATAAAAACAATTCAAGGAACCAAAAGGCTAATATGACCACATCATGAGAATCCTTTTTGGGACAAATATCGTGCAATAACAAAAGTAGCTCATCGTATTCTTCTTGCATTAAAACATCTTCTTCCAAGTTGTTGAAGCCTAACTGCCACCTCCACACATCACCATCCCACATACCCATGTCTTTCACCACACCATGTTTCTAGCCCGAGATTCCATACAAATCCAAATAAAGATTATGCAGGGTTGTATTACCTATCCATCTAGCAATCCAGAATGAGGCACAAGCTCCATCAACTAATCTAAAGGATATTAAGTCAACAAATTCAGCAGCCCCCAAATGTTCACCACTCTGCAACACATCCTTCCACCACAAGGATTCATGAGATTTTGATTTTGAGGCCTCTTTAAAAATTATGGTTTTAACATAATTTTCATATCTTTCCTCCAATATCCCAACCCAAATAGTATCCATTTCTTTCATAAATCTCCAAAGCCACTTTGAAATCAACCCTTTTTGAAGAGCCTAATGTCGTTTATGCCTAATCCACCATTCTCCTTAGACTTACAAATTGATCTCCAACTGACCCAAGCTATACCTCTATTCTTCTTTGAGTCAAACCATAAAAAATCTCTATGAATTAAGACTAGAACCTGCAGAACTTTTTCGCGGTGCCTTGAAGAATGAGAGATGATGGACAAAAAAATTAGTCAAAACATAATTGATTAATGTCACTCTTACACCAATATACAATAGTCTCCCCATCCAAGGTTATAACTTAGCCTTCATACAATCAATGCCAGGTTTCCAAAATGAAATTCTTCTATGATTACCTCCTACAGTTAAACTAAGAAACTTGAATGGTAAAGTCTTTGTTTTACATGCTAGGAATTGTTCATCTTCCTTTAGAAAAAAATCATCTACCCCAACACCATAAAGACAAATTTCCTTGTGTTAATCTTCAACCCAGAAATCAATTTAAATCCCTTTAGGATCAATTTCACAGCCCATAGATTTACCAAGCTCCATCACAAATTAGCATCGTGTCATCAACAAACTGCAAGAGATAATAGGACACTCTATCATTGACTCTAAAACCACTTAGCAGACCCCCACCTGGAGCTCTTTTGACCATTGCTGCAAGCCTTTCAACAACTACGGAAAATAGAAAAGAAGACAAGGGGGCTCCATGTCTCAAACCCCTAGAAATCTTGAAATCATGAGTAGGACTCCCATTGACTAATACAAACATAAAGTTATTCATTACACCACCCTTCATCCACTTCATCCATCTCTCACCAAAGCCCATAACCACCAACATTTTCCTAAGGAAACTTCAATCTATACAATCGTAGGCTTGTGCAAATTCAACATTTAATAAAACACAAGTCTTCTTCTTTCTTTTAGCAAGATCAATGATCTCATTTAGAACCACAACACCATTTAATAATTATCTCCCTTGAATGAATTCCGTTTGAGAACTAGCAATCAAATTACCCATGACATACCTAATTCTTGAAGCCAATAATAAATGATGATTTCTTAGTGGCTTTCAATTTCACTCCTCTGATTATGTATTAATTTATGGCTGTCTTTGAGGTCATGTAAGACGGGTTATCGCACAGAATCTCAAATTTTTTAGAGTTAAACAATAGTTAAATAGAGTCTCATAAAATAGTTGTCAGATCAAATCATGATTAAATAAGTTTTTATTTGTTTTACCCTTATTAAACTACGACTAACCTACACGAGGCCTCCAAAAACTTAAGATAATTATGCTTTAACCGGTGATTGTTCTAATGATTCCAAAATCTCTTATATGTCGATTTCGGCTAAGACTTTAATTATTTTTATGTTTGAATAAATTATGACTATATTGTGATTTCAATAATTGCTAGGCTCGAAAATGATGCAATGCAAATGTGTCATGATGCACTTAAATAAAGTCACAATCGCATTGTAAAAATATAAAACTATAAATCTTGTTTCGGCTTATGAAAGTAAAAGATTTGATACACTTATTTTTTAACCGTCACCTACCTCTTTTAAATTTTTGAAGTGATTAAATTGTCTAATTCTTTGGACCTTCCATATAAATAACTTCATTCGATGTCTTTTCTTCTTACTTTGTACTATTTATTTTGAGTTTTTTTTTTATTTTTTGAAATAACAAAATTTCCTCTTACTCATTATTCCTCAAATCATTTCTCTTTTCAAGAAAAAGGAAAATTTCATTTTAAAAATGTCTTCATCTGACTCCCAATATTGTGAACACAATTATGATGGCGATGACACACTAGACTTCACTTTATCAACTTGTATATTTCAACGACTGATGTACCTCTAGTGTTATGATCCTAATCTAAGATAAACACCTTACATCTTTCCATTTTCTTTGTAAGTGATGACACCATGTTTCTTCGGTATTTCTTTTTCCATATGAATATTATAAATTTTAGGTTTCTGAGAGGTGGTTCTCCATTGATGGCCGAGACGCTAAAGGAAGCCGTCCTCCGCTGGTATATGCGTCTCCTGAAGTTCTCGGTGTCAAGTTACCAAGATGTGACCAGAAAAAAGGTTTCCATGACGAGCTTGTTAAATGCTCGTCAAGGCAATTCTAAGTCCTTGCACGAGTATTTGGCCAGAACTAATAAGGAGGTCATCAAGGTCTCCAGCCTAAACCAAGGGATATTCGTAGGAGTTTTCCATAACGACCTCAAGGTTGGACACTTCAATGAGTCCTTGGTCCAAAAGTTATCGGTCTCGATGGAAGAGATCATTGTGAGAAGGGAATGTTATATTAAAAGAGAAGAAAGAAATATCGAAAAAAGAACCTAAGATACAAGAGAGCGAGAAATCTAAAGCATCCAACCAGCGAAGAAATCAGAACATAACACTAATTCGAGACAAAGTTGCATTCAATCCTTCTAAGAGGCCATTAAAGCATTTCATCCCCACTGAACACAAGGAAAGGGAAAATGCTCCTGGACGTCTACCACACCAAGGTCATTCCCGATCCCTTTTCCCCCGATGGAGATGTAATGAGGGGAAAATTAGCTAAGTTGTGCAAGTATCAAAGGATACGAGATCACCATACAAATTATTGTCACCATATGAAGTGATAGATTGAAAAGTTAATCCAGGAAGGATTCTTACAAAGATATGTACGGGGTAACTCCTATAAATTAGGAAAAACAAGAGCACCACGAGCAAAGACAAGCCTCCACAGAACACCCCGACCCATAAGGGGTCAGTTCCATGAAGAAATAAATGGTCATGGTCAAGCAAATCACACTTTAAATATGATTGAAAGAGGCTTCATGGAAAGTAGATAGTCTAGCTCATTGAGAAAGAGATATGCCCGCAAGTAATGCATACTGACAGTACCTAACTTGTGGAAATAAAGATTATGATACTAGAGATTACTTTTTCCAACAAACAAGCGAAGGGATTCCTACCTCAAGATAATGATACCATGGTGATTAGCTTAGAAATAGAGAGTTAGACTGTCAAAAAAGTTCTAATGGACCCTAAAAGCTCGACCGACGTCCTCTTGGATGCATGTGAAGGTTTAAAGATATATCCCGAGCTCCTACAACATTTAAGAGATTCTCTAGTAGTTTTTTTAGGGGGAACAAGTGCAAGTACAAAGACATGTCTCGATGTTGACGACATTCAGATGGGGGCATAACGCCAAGATCATAAAAGTATCATGCTTAGTGGTGAACAAAACTTCCTCATATAATATCATCATCAATAAACCTTCCTTCAATGCATTGAGAGGTGTTCTCTCAACCCGCTATTTAAAATTGAAATACCACATGGACAACAAGTGGGTATGTGTGGTTAGAGGCGACCATAAGGTGGGAAGAACATGTTATCGGGATAACTTAAAGCTTAAAAGAAGAAGGGAGGTGGCCTCATCGCACCACACCCATAGAGTCATATGTGTTTATTTAGAACCTAGGACTGACTCCTTGGAATACGGTTTAACACCAATGGAAAAGTTGAAAACCATATAGATAGGTCCTCATAATCATCAGATTATTCAAATAAGGACCACATTTACTAATGATATGGAGAATGACATTATCCAACTGCTTTAAAAGAATGTAGACATATTCTTATCATAACCATATGATATGTTCAAAATTGAACCTGAAGTTATGTGCCATCATCTCACAATCAAGATCGGGTTTAAGTGCATCACCCAGAGGAATCATAAAGAAGGAGAAAACAAGATATCAATTATTTTCGAAGAAGTGAAGAAGTTGAAAGAGGAAGGATTTATACAAAAGCTCAGTTATCTAACTTAGTTGGCCAATGTAGTGATGTTGAGAAAAACATCATGAAAATGGATGATGTGTCTAAAATTCACTTACCTTAATTAAGAATGTCCAAGGGCTCATACTGGCTATTAAGCATCTATAGGATAATTGAAAGAGCCTCAAGTTTTTGGGTTTTGAGTTTCATGGACGCCTACTCACGTTACAACCAAATAAGGATGAAACCCAATGAAACTCAAAAAACAACATTCATAACCAACCATAATAACTTCTATTATGAGGTCATGCCATTCAATTTGAAGAATACTGAGGTGACCTATTAGAGGTTGATGAACATCATTTTCTCTGAGAAGGCCAGTCAAAATCTAGTGATTTATATTGATGACATGGTGGTCAAGACCCTAAATGAATGAAAGCATGGTGATGACCTAAGAGAAAAAATAGCATCTATTAGACGATACAATATACTCGTGAACCCTAACAAGTGCTCTTTAGAAGTGCAAACAGAGAAGTTTTTAGGATTCATGCTAACTAGCCGAGGAATCGAGGCAAACCCCAATAAGTGCCAAGTGATCATCAATATGAGAATCCCAACTTCTATAAAAGAGGTTTAAAACTGAAATCGATTGGAGTGACACATTACCTTGGTTTCTGCCATGTTTGGTTGATAAGCCTATTCGTTTCTTGGAAACATTAATGAAGTCGGAAAAATTCTAGTAGGCAGAGGAATGCAAAAACCTTTTTAAAAGCTAAAGAAGGAAATTTTGCTCTATCTATACCTATCATCAAATAATATTATAATAACATCAGTTCTTGTCCAAAAAGAAGATGAAGGAGATAATACGGTTTAATTCATTAGAAATATTCTTAAGGGGGCTGAACTACGTTATTAGAAGATAGAACAACTCGTCGTGACGATCATTATCACTTCTAGGAAAATACGATATTACTTCCATAAGTATCACATCATAGTAAAGACTAATTATCCCATCCTTCGAGTATCGAAGAAGATGGACTTGGTGAGTAGGATGGTATCATGGATTGTCGAGCTCTCTAAATATGACATATATTTGGTACTAAGAAGTAGTATCAAGTCTGAAGTCCTAGATGATTTTGTGGTGGAATTCAGCTTATATGTGGAAGAGGAGCCCTCCGCATCTGGGTTGTATCACTACTACAAAAAGTATATATTATTATGGTTTGACGCTACATTTCACCAAGGTTGATGGTCCGTATTAATGAAGGGCATGATATAAAGTTGCTACTTATCACCATGTTTGGAAGTTCAACCTTAATGAAATGTTGCCTCACATGGGTTTGATTCTAAAAAGTGGATAGTGCGCCACATTTCACCACGGTTGAAAGTTCCACCCGTTGTGAAATGTGTTTCTTTTGCCACATTCCACCACGATTGGAAATTCCAACCGTGGTGAATTCCTTTGCATTTTTTAAATAAATTATTTTATATTTCCAATATAAATCAAATTTGATACCAAAACAGAATATGGCAAACAGAAATTGAAACAAAGCAATAAATATAACAGAACAAGGAATAGAATACAAAAGATAAATAATAAATTATGAATAAACAGTTATAAATTTCTTTTTAGTTTCCCATATGCCTTCTTGAAGATCATAAAGAATAGCATGCACATCATCTGCAACATTTTCTTCAAATGAAATACTCATGTGTGTTGCGAAAGAAGGGGTCATAGGAATATCAATAGTTAAATATTCATATTCATCACTAGGAAGAATGTGTTTTTCCTTTGAGAATAATTGATCATCTCTTTTCAGAAGGATCTGTGACACAAAACACTTATTTTACTTGGGATACCATGATGAATGGTTGTTCGTATGAGATGCCTTACAAAGATCAACCTATGTGAATCATGACTCATCAGTTTATACTCCAGTGTTACTGTCAAGATAATGGATCACATCAAAGAACACCAACCTTTTTTCCATATTTTTTCTCAACGTACCATATTTCTTTCCTTCCAAAGACAACATTAATGTGTTATTTTAGTTTATA